CTGGCTCGCGCATTGGCTCGCATGACTCGCTGGCTCGCACTTTGTCACGACCCAAAACGGTGCACTAAAGCTAAATTAAACTTGACCCAAATGCGGATTACAACTGTGTCAACAATTGGTGTAAGTCTCTTAGTGTTGCTCTGACTGTTTGTTTGGCTACAAAACCAGTTGCTACGGTTTGATACCAAATATCTGTGAAAAATATTTTTAAAAGTGGGCATAAACATAGTATAAAAGTTAAAGGTTCTTGCATGCCAATAGAAAACATAATTTTAACCATAAGTTTGCTTTAGGCCCTTTCTAACCTAATAATTGCATGTGGACCTCCCCTTGACTCATCTTTGGTAGATATATATGAAGTTAACTGGAAAAGAAAGTAAAAGCTGAAATATAATTATTTCAACTCTATTTGTTTTTTACATTTTTGATGTATTTTACATTCATAGAAATTTTAACTCTGAGTATTGTTTTTTTTTTTATCTTCTTTAGGCAAAGAAATAAACCACACAAGAAATCGGTATGCAAACATTACATTTGCTTTCTTTATCTTGTAGGATATTTAAATGAACTTGACTTTATTCAGTATATCACAATATCACTACAAAAACAGCAAATATAGCAATGACTTAAAAGTTAAATTATACCTTAAAATATTGAAAAAGATTAAAATTAAACGCGACGTTGAAAACCATAAGTGGTATACTAGGATAACCCATGAATTTTGTATTAAAACTTATTTCCAATGGGCGTCCTTGAGAAACAACCAAATGAAATAAATTTAAAAGACCACATTGCATAAAATAGTTAAAAATGCATCTTTGAGGTATTATTTCAAATAATAAATCAGCTAAGATGGTATTGATCTTGATGATATTCTTGAAATGATACAGCAGATGCTTCAGCTAACCAACAACTGCATTATTGAATGAATGCTTCAGATAACGAACAACTGCTTCAGATAACCAATAACTGCATTATTCAATGGATACTTCAGATAAACAACAATTACTGCATTATTCAATGGATACTTCAGATAAATAACAACTGCATTATTCAATGGATACTTCACATAAACAACAACTGCATTATTCAATGGATACTTCACATAAACAACAACTGCATTATTCAATGGATACTTCACATAAACAACAACTGCATTATTCAATGGATACTTCACATAAACAACAACTGCATTATTCAATGGATACTTCACATAAACAACAACTGCATTATTCAATGGATACTTCACATAAACAACAACTGCATTATTCAATGGATACTTCACATAAACAACAACTGCATTATTCAATGGATACTTCACATAAACAACAACTGCATTATTCAATGGATACTTCACATAAACAACAACTGCATTATTCAATGGATACTTCACATAAACAACAACTGCATTATTCAATGGATACTTCACATAAACAACAACTGCATTATTCAATGGATACTTCACATAAACAACAACTGCATTATTCAATGGATACTTCAGATAAATAACAACTGCATTATTCAATGGATACTTCAGATAACCAACAACTGCATTATTCAATGGATGCCGCAGATAACCAACCACTGCATTATTTCATGGATGCTTCTGCTAACCAACATATGTATTATTCAATGGATGCTCTAGATACCCAAAAATTGCATTATTCAAGGGATACTTCACATAACCAATAACTGTATTATTCAAATAATAAATTGATCAGTTAATACATCAACAGAATACTGCAACAATCACACTGTAAAAAATGTCAGTAATTTTACGTTTACCGTAATTAAATTTACTGTAAAAATAAGGGTCACTACCGTGTGATTGTATTTTTACGGTATTTTTTATATAATAATACGATAGATTGGTGTTTTGTTGTAACTTTCCGGTATCATATCGTTTTTCTACAGGTTAAAAATCGTCCGTGTATTTCGACGGAATTTTTATGTAAATATACGGTGAATTCGTAAATTCAATGTGTTTGGCGGTTAAATTACGTCGTCATATTACTATTTTCCGTAATTTAACAGGTCAAAATCAACATTTACGTTTACTAACGTTGGAGTTCGTAATGTTCATTTATAAACTGGCGTAATTTTACAGTACAAAATATTGTTTAAACAAGTACCGTACTATGAATTTTAACGGTATTTTTGTATAACAATGATGACACTGTGAACTCACACTTCGCGATGTTAAATAACGGTTCATCTTCGCGGGTAAAATTAACATTTTTCAGTAATTTTACGTTCGCCGTTGTAATCCTAC